AAAATAAAAAAAGAAAACCAAAGAGATAACTGACTTTATCTATCATTGCAGAGGAAGAAGAAAACTCAAAAGCATGAAATAACTTAGCACAAACATCCAATATGCTCTGGAGACCCAACCTCCTTTATTCACTGCAAGTTAACTGCAACAGAAAAAATTCTAAAAGTTTCTGCTACAAAACTCAGGTCCATTAAATTTAAGTCAGGGCAAAAAGTCAATGAACCAAGGTATTTTTTCCCCAGACTACAGGAATGGTGGTTGACCAGATGTTGCACTGATAGCAGGTCTGACTTCATATCCCTATGCTAAACACATTGCTGACACTGGCGAGGGAAGGCCCAGGCCCACTGTGAAGGTGCAGGTAGAGCCAGAACAATGTGCACCCATGGATTTCTTGCCGTTGTAGAGCACAACCCACCAGACTCTCAGCTATCCATACATTCTCCAAATATTAGCCTCTATGTCAACTGCTCGGTGATGGGACCTTCAGTTACAAAGTGGGAAACAGCAGTCACTTGCCCTCACTTCCTCTCATTGGAGAACCCCCAGGTGCACTGTATGGCCATACGACTGTGCCTGGCATAGCTCCAGAGTGCTGTTCCTCTAGTCTTAGATGTAAATAGAACCCTCTGGAAATGTCAGTGAGGCAGTCCTAGTGGATGGCCTGCCCTGGTTGAGCTGACAACTTCTATCTTAGTGCTGAAGAGGCTGTGTCATAGCCTGAATGTCTCGTGCAACATCTGTGTGTTTCTCTGTTTGTTGCCCTGCTATGATGGGAGGGAGTTTTTCAGGCTCCATCCTCTGGCCTGGGAGTTGGTGTTGGCACCAAGCTCCCTGCTCATGGGGAAGGAGCTTCCTCTAAAGCTCTCAGCCTGAAGTTGACAGCAACTCATTCCTCTCTGATGGCACCTGCTGTCTTAGGCCTGTCAGAGTTATATGGCCCTTATATTACCTTTTACCTTTATAGGAAATAAACTCCCTGGATAAGATTTTTATTGCTGCTGTGACAACCTACCAAATTCAGTGGCTTAAACAACACCAATTGATTATCTTACAAATGCAGGGCGTGGGAGTCTAAAATAGGTCTCACCACACTAAAATCAAAGTATCTACAAGGCTGCTTTCCTTCTGTAGGCTCTGGGGGTGAATCTATTTTTTTCTGGCTCTTAAAGGACACCTGCATGCCATGGCTTGTGGCCCCAGCCAGCAATCATGTCACTCTAATTTCTATTACCCTTGTCACATCTTCTCTGACTCCAACTTTCCTGTTTCCCTTCTATAAAACCCTTGTGACTACATCTAGGATTCATTCAGATAATCTAGGATAATATCTCTATCTCAAAATTCCAAATTTAATTATATCTATAAAGTTCCCTTTGACATATAGAGCCACATATTCACATATTCTGGGAATTAGAACATACACACACTTGGAGAGGCATTTTTCAGCCTATCACATTCCCTAGAGGCATTCTGTCAGTTAGTCACCTGTATTTATTGAGCACCTATAATTTGTAGGTTGCTGAACTAAGTGCTGGGAATACAGAGGTCCATAATACAGCCATACTGGTAAAGGGGCCCAGTAGCAAAGGTTGTGAGTGTTTTGTTTTATATGTACTACATAGCCATATTATATAAAAAAAAGATAAGGCCAGGAGAGTTTAAATAAATATCTAGACTTTTGACTTCCCTAGAAAAATCAGATGGTCATCCTCATAGGATAACAGCCACACATGAGTTGTGGATGCTTCAATCTCAAGGTCTCCGCCTCTCTGTGTCACCTCCTGCCCCACTGGCTGCTGTGTGGCTCAGTATGACTCACTGACTCCTGAAAGCATTTCGATTTGGACACTGTAGCTCTGAGGTACAAATGATAAGGTGACTGCCTATATATTTACTGTAGTAACAGAAGAAAAATCTTCTCAGATTGTTGTGATCTAAAAATAATAATGAGGACTTGACATTTTTGGTCTCTAATGTACAGATCAGTTGGCATCTGCCTTGACTGGCATATGCACATGTACCACTTGCTCAGTGCACAAGTCTTCCAAGGGCAGAGGAAGAAGGTGGTTGTGGTTCTCTTCCTCCCAGCTCAATTCAGTGGCTCACCACAGGCAGATTTAACTGGCCCAACTATATTATCTCACTATAACTAAGCAAGTTCTCACTAACAGGATGAGGTATGCTATGGTCTGGATGTGGTTTATCCCCCAAGGGTTCCAGTGTTGGGAGTTTGATTCCCAGTGTGGTAATACTGAGGTAATAGGGTCTTTAAGAGTTGGGCCTAATAAGAGATCATTAGGTTGTTGAAGGCAGCAGTTCCCAACCTTTTTGGCACCAGGAACCAGTTCTATGGAAGACAAGTTTTCCATAGATGGGGTTGGGCGATGGTTTCAGGATCAGATTCTCATAAGGAGCACACAACATAGATCCCTTGCATGTACAGTTCACAGCAGACTTCAAGCTCCTATGAGAATCTAGTGCTACCACTGACAGGAAGTGAAGCTCAGGCAGTACCAGGATGGGCAGAGCTGTAAATACAGATAAAGCTTCACTTGCTCCCCATAACTCATCTCCTGCTATGTCACCTGGTTCCTAACAATCCATATAGGTCTATGGCCTGGGAGCGGGGAACCCCCTTGGTTTAGAGTAGAGCCCCCAGAACACTTTAAGGTAGTACCCCAGGGAGAACAATATCAGCCCCTCCTCAGTCTCTCTGGTCTTCTCTCTCACCGTGTGGTACTCTCCCACAAGCTCCTGCCATGATGCCAACTGTCATGAAGCCCTCACCAAAGGCAGGACAGTGCTGTTTGGAATTTCAGTCTCCAAAACCACGAGCTGAACTTCTACCCAGCCCCAGGTATTTTGTTATAGCAGACAGACTAATGTAAGATATTTTAAAAGGTACAAGGGATGGCCAAAAAAAAAAAAAATTGGGAAATATATATACAAATAATGTAAAGAACAGTAGAGAAAAAGGAATGGGCAACGGTGGCATATCTTTCCATGGACAAGCTCCTCAGCCTTGTACAAAGCAAAAGAAGTAATATACTAATGAAATCTGACAAGAAGAGAGCCACAATTAGAAATTATCATGCCACTGATAATGCAGATGTAGTACTTTTTGTATAGTACCTTGAGAAAGTAGCTAGTGACAGCAGTACTGATTTACAAACAGAAATACACTAGGGTACATGGTAGAGATATTTTCACTGAGATAGTATCTTTTTTGCTAGACAAAGGTAGCTTCACTGTAAGACTTGCCAAGCTGAAGTTATTATATCACCCTGTGTCCTTCAAGAACTGAGAGCAAAGCTCATCTAAGCGTTAGACAATTAGAAACACCCTGAATTCAAGGAAACACCCTGAATCACTCAACAAGATAAAGGAAGAAGACCAAAGTCAGATCACACACTGGCTGGCTACTCAAGAAAATACTCCTCCAAACACTCAAGGTAGAATTTTAGTAAGACTTTTGGATACAATATTTGCCATGCATTCAGAGCCAAGGGTGAAGAACACATGTGTTAAAGGACATGTTGTGGAATTCTTTACTCAGTAAAGTTCTTAATTCCCATTCTTTAACCCAAACGGATTACCCAAACTAAGTGCACAGAAGCAGAGGAATGGAAGATAATGAGTCGGAAATGACAGAAATGAGTGTTTATTAAGTACACTTAGGCGGCTTGATGGTCTTGTGCAGTATACTATTCAAGCCTCTCTGAGGACACTATTGTCATCTCAGCTCTACAAAGGGCAAAATTAAGACCCAAATAATTAAAGGAATTGTCCAAAGTCACTCTGAAAACATAAAACAGCACCGAGGTTGAAATCCTAGTACACTGAACTCTAAAACTACGAACTTCCTATCCCCTTACACTGCCCGCCTGGTTTCCCTGCTCGCACCCTCACCAGCGGGTCTGTCCCCAAGCCCATCCACTGACCCTTGCTATCTCGCTGGCCTGCAACTCACACCTTCCTCCCCAGAGCCACAGGCAGACTAGGCCTCAAATTCCTTGTCCAGGCCATTCGGAGAAGCCGGTAGAAAGAGGCCAAGGCAGTGCAGGGAAAGACAGGAGAGAAAGGAAGACAAAGCAGGAGCCGAGATGGAGACAGAATCGGCCCCCTCCACACGTCCACAAAGAGAGGAGTCAGGAGTCTTCCGTCATGGGTGGGGACATAAGTCTTCAAAAGTTAGTGTACATACTAGAGATACAAGACCTTTTATTTAGAATACTTGCTCTCTCTCTCTCTCTCTCAATTATATGAATTCAATTTCAAAGAGTCATGGAGGGTAGGAAGGCGCAAACACAGAGGTTTAATCATGTAAAACGTTTAAGCAGTCCTAATTAGTAATCTTTAGAGTCTGAAAACCATCACAGAAATGGAAAGCACTTCTACCTTACTGAGTACAGAAATATGAAGCTCCTTTGTGAAGGAACTTAGAGGACACTGCGCCTGTGACCAAACAATTTCAGCAATGAGTTTAAGGCCTCCAAAACCGGAGGAGCGGTGCAGCTGAGTAACTCCCGCCGGGGCTACTAAGTTAGGGTAGATCTAAAAAGATCAGCGAGGGAGACAGCAGGGTTCACTCATCCTGCTCACCGGAGCGCACCCGGGAGGCCCGCCTGACACTCCACGTCCTCCGCTGACCTCGCAGGGGTGAGGAACCGGCCTGAACTAGGCTCCCCTAAACTGGCCGGGGACCTGGGGAGATAGTATCTCCGGGGAGCGGGCCCTTGGAAGTTTTCTGCTGCGGCGCCGCGGAAGCCACCGCGCCAGGCTAAGCAGTCTCCTCCCCCGCCGCTCGGCTCCGGAAGGCCGGGCCCGGGAGTCCAAGTCGCGGTCGCGGCAGACCCAGGCCCGCGCAGCGCGCCCCAAGTCCGCGGGGCCCAGCAGCGGCTCCCCGTGCCCCTCCCCGCTCGCCCCCCGTCTCCACGAGGGCTCCACGCGCGCAGCAGGCTGGGGAAGGGGCGGGAAAGGGAAGTTGGGGCGCGTACCTCCGAGCGCCCCGCAGAGCCCCAGGCAGGCGGCGAGCAGGACCAGGCGGCGGGGCCCGGGCACCTGCATCCTGCCGCGGTGGCCCCGGGGCCGGCGGAGCTACCTGCACCGACGCCTTCCCGCCCGCGCCGGGACCAGAGCTCGGCGAGGGGCACCGCCCCCAACTGCTCGGGGGCCGGACCTGGGCGGGGAGAGCCTCCGGCAACCTGCAGCTGTTGCGCCCCATCAGCGCGCGGCCCCGCTCCTGGGTCCCAGGCTGCTCGGCCTTTCGTCCCGGGCTAAGGTGAAATTAAATATGGCTTGTGAGGGCCTTCAGCGCCAAGAGGGCAAACAGTTTATAACCCCCGGCTGTGATCTGCAGTGGAGGGGTGGGAGAGGGAAAAACAAGATGACACTAATGTTGGGTGAGAACTGGAAGGCTGGCTGGTGAAGTTGGTAGGAACAAACGGATTCCTGCTGGAGGTAAGAATCCTTGCCCAGCCGGGCTCGACTCACCGGTCCAGGTGCGCTTCCGAAAGGGGTGCTTTTCTCTATGTAGTGCCAGTGTGTGCCTGGTACAGAAACATCTGTAAATATGTATTGAATGGGAGCGGATGGGAGGAGAGAAGGGTGCCTAATCATTCCTTCTCAAATGTGAACCTTAGTTTAGTTTCCTTCAAAGAACAGTCCTGAAAGTAGATCATTACATGTTTGGAACAACCACCTATCAGAAGAATTGATCAAGGGCCAAGGGTCAATGTGTAGTGGCAGTCGTGATCACAGATCAAGAGGAGCAACCTCCACCTAGGTCTGGTAAAAAGTGACTTCAGTGGGCCCTAAGGAGGTGGTTTGGTAAGCAGGGCAAAGAATCTGCTAGGACCAACCTTCTTAGAGCAACATTTCTCTGGTTGTCTTCTCTGTTACACTGGTGTTAGTTAAAATGCCCATTCATATGCTGCCAGGACAGCCAATGCTAATGCTACTTTGTTCCTAATAAAATTAATGACTTCATTTCCCCTTCATTTCCTTTTTTAGTTCTACAATGAAGTGCTTTTTAAGCAGGGAATTGACCTTTTCTCCAGCAGATCATCTGTGAGGCCACTGTTGTCCTTCTGAGACGTGTTTTGTCTACCCAGCCATGTTCCATTCTCCTGGAAATCTCATCGCCCCCCTTGATTAGGGGAATTCTCTCTACTTCCTGTCCCATCATGGGTGAGAAATGGGAGTGGACACTCCCTTTCCATGGATGGACCAGGGAGTGTGCTCATTCAGGACCAGTAATCCACTGTGAAAACTCTCTGGAGGCTTTCCTGAGAGAAGGTCTGCTCTTCTCCAGAGAGGAAGCAGGGAAACTGTAAGTTGCCAAGCCCTCTGCCTTATCAAAGAGGCTGTTGTACAATATAAATAGAGCAGATACAGAGAAGGTTTACACCATGGGCCTGGGATCTATTATCTGCATTCATTCCTGAGACCAGCTGTGTCCTTATCTTTACTGGGATTTGCTTATGTGCTCAGTGAAGTCCCATTTTAACCTAACAAGCACAGTTTGGCTTCCGTACCTGCAACCAAAAGAATCCTCTCAACTTTAATCCAAGAGTGATTTACATCTAATTCTGATTTGTGTTTGGCGGGCCATATATTTGGAAGCCCTAAAATGAGCAGCAAACTTTCTGGCCAATGACAAACATTAACATGAGTGCGAAGACACCCATGCCACTCACATGTGTTTGACTTTTTACTGCAAGCACCCGCACCCTCTGCATGGGTGTAGGGCGGGCTTGGCCCACAAGTGTCCAAGACGGACAAGAAGTAAATGGCCACAGGAACAGCCAATGGGAGAAAATTCATGGGTAAATATCCAAGCTGCTTCTCTGTGAGCCAGGGCAATTCCAGAGTGAACTCTAATTGGTCTCCTAGAGGTTTGAGGTCCACTTGCCCACAGCCAGTAACCTGCTTATTGATGTATCTAGGGGACCCCATCTGCATACTCAGTCACAACACCAAATGAGACCGAGGCTGGTAGGAAATTCTGCAACTGCTGTAGAATCCACAGTGTCACGGTTAAGAACCTGGCCACTGGCTTTGCATTCCCGATGTACCTCTGTTCCTGAGGTCAAGTTTCTTAGCCTCCCTGAGCCCAATACTGTGCCTTCCACACTGTTTTTCCTTATCTTTTTTTTTCCTTTTTTTTCTCAAAATTAGCATAATGATGGCTCCTACCTCAGAACATTATTTAAAGGATTGGTTAAGATTTTTTAAAGTCTGAAGATGGAACCAAAAGGGCAGAGAGAGCCTGTCATGATACATGATGGTTTTGTGCGTGATGTAGTCCAGCTCCATCATTTTATGCAAGGTGTGACCAAAAACTACAATGTTTAAATTTTAAAAATGTATGACAGTGAAAGATACACTGCCCTTAATCACCCTCAGTCCTCTCACTGACTTCAAACACTCTTGTCCCATCACCCTTGCCGCTTTCTGAAGCAGTTCGGAAGGCTTCTTTTGTGCCTTTATGAGATGTGATCAAAGCACAGTCAGTACTGCTGCTAAGAGCCATCTAAGGGAAAAGCAAGTCTGTAAAAGCATTATGGTGTCTGCGCACCCACCTTATTCACCAGTCTGGCATTGTGTGACTTCTGGCTCTTCCCTGAAGTCAAAATGACCGTGAAAAATAAATATTTTGAATTGATTCAGGGATTGAAGCAGTCATGGCAGCACAACTAAAGATGCTCATGAAAAAGGACCCCCAGAACTGCTTCAGAACGTGAAAAGAATGATGGGGTAAGTGTGCTCAAAGTAAGAGAGAGTGTTTTGAAGGATATTAATGGCAATCTGTCTTTTACTGTAATGCGCTTTTTAAAAAATTTAAACAGTCCATAGTATTTTTTTATCACACTATGTATGCAAACTCTTTCTTTTCTTGGTTACAAGGAGAGTCACAGCAATTCTTTTTGTTTGTTTGTTTTTGTCTTTTTGAGACAGGATCTCGCTATGAAGTTCAGGCTGGCTTTGAACTCACTTTGTAGCTCAGGCTGGTCTTGAACTCGAAACAATCCTCCTGCCTCAGCCTCCCAAGTGCTGGGATTGCAGGCTTGCGCCACCACAGCCGGCTCATAGCAATTCTTTAGCTTCAAAGTAAATTAGAACAGAATTTGAGAGTAGCTTAAAAGTACAGCTAGGCCTACCCAGACACAAGAGTACTTAAGCACAATAGTGCCTAAGACTTCCTGGCCAGGTGGAGTTCTACCCCGGCTTCACTATACTCACCACGTCTTCTAGTTCCTTTGTGTCCTTTTGCCATCAAAGACAGTGTACTTTATCACTGTTTTTGACCAATAAGCAAGAACTAACCTTAACCAAGATTTCCCAGACTTCATGGAAACCTGCGACTTTTAGCCACTATGATTACCACCATTTACAACTTAAACTAAACACAAACTAAGCCTCTGTTTCTGACTTCTTAAAATGTGGAGATCACACCAAATCTCTCCAGTCCTTCCAGCCTTAGCAACCTAAAGTTTGTATTTATGTGAGTGGATAAGCACAGAATTTGGCCCCACCTCAGGCTCACTGTGTCCCACCAAAGTGCGGGAGATGTAGCTTGTGATAAGGTTTCCTGAGGGATCAGAGGCCAGTTCAGCTCATGGTAATTCAGGCATGAAAAATTTCTCCTGGCAAGCTCTGGTGTTTACTTAAATCTAAAAGCACAGGCAGCATGGAACAAGATTCCCAAAGAGGTTCAGACAGTCACCAAAGTCCCACAAAGTGGCCTGTAGTGAAACATCGTCTCTGGCTTGGTCCCTTGAAAGAACTAGTGGAAATTCTAGTTCAGATAAATGCCACTGATATGTAACCTTGGACAAGTCACTTAAGTACCCCAATTGTCTCTGTCTATAAAATGAAGTGAATCATGCTCATCCCATGAGGTGTGTTGTGTGGTTTACTAAACTCATGAGAATTAAGTATGCAACATGGTGCTTGACTCGTGTAGGATTCACTGGGGCACCATTATACCTGGCAGTCCAACCAGACCCCCTGCCTCCAAGCATCCTGACTAGACACACAGTCCTGAGAATGAGCCCTCCTTTATCTTTCCTTCAAAATAAAACATTTACCATGACCTTACCCACATGCACTATTAAACACTATTCATGCTGTCCGTATTAGTAATTCCAGCATCCCCCACCTATCCACAGTAGTGTTGATTTTCCTGAGAGTGAAGAACCTGATTTTCCTGAGACTGAACCAGGTGGATGAAAGCTGTAGGTCTGGTTTTAGATATATAACAAGTCACATATCCTGCATTAGCTTCAGTTTCCTCCCTTATAAAATGAAAGGGAGATCTATAAACTCCCTCCAAGCTCAACATTTTGTATTCTAATTAGTTATTGGTTTGGGGACAGCTCTACCATTTAAATAGAGCCCTTTTAATGAACACACAGAAAAACTGGAAATGTTCAGATTTGTTTGTCTGAACAAGTCTGTGATTGCTAATAAACTTGGAACTTTTAACTTGGAAAAAAATCATTCAAAGAGTCAAAAAGAAAAGACTAGGAATTATTTTCCTGCAGAGTACCACTTGCTCCAATTTATCACTTAAATGCTGCAATATTAAATGTAGCCACTAGCATCTGGGCAAGAAATCCATCCACATAAAGGTCACACTTTAGTCATTTTGACTGGCACTAGTGACAAAAGTTCCACTATTTGGAAATTGGCCTGAGCACTGTTCACTCAGAAAGAAAGGTATAGAAGGCACAGAAAAATTTTGCATTCATTCAACAAATATTCAGTGAACTCTTCCAAATACCAAAACACGTGAGAGATGTCATGGTGCAAACAAGTATAGCCCCCGTTTTCAAGGAAAGATCAATTAGATCCTTATGGAACTATACTGTCCTATGACCAGAAGGTGCTGAAATAGTAGTTTGAAGTATTCAGTTAGAGCCCCTGCTTTCAAGGAAGTTGTGCTTTACAGAATGTTATACAACATGTACAGAAGTAATTTTAATAAATTTGAATGAGAACTCAGGTTAAACCTCTCTGCTCATAACTCTCTGGAACTACCCAAATTATACACTATTGACAGTGAGACTGATGGAAGCAGCTATGACAGATTTTCATGACGCCATACCTGCTGACTCCACATTATTGGGCCACATGGATTCCTGGTGTAGGGAAGATGACCCTGGGAACAAGAATG